AGAAAGGAGTTGTGTCGCTTAAGTTTCGTCGGAACGAAGTTACGGAAAGTTAATTAACAAACGGAGACGTAACACTATTAAGAAATGTAAGTAAAAGCCATTTACTTCGACAATTGGCAAAAAAGAAGAACTTATATGAGATACTGATCCGTCATGGTATACCCAGTGGTTTGCGTATTATTGGTAAAGGATTCTTCTACCAAGAAGAGAATGACCCCAAACACTCATCCAACCTATGCAGAAATTACATAGCTAAGAAAGAAGCTGCTGAACTCATTCAGATGATGCAATGGCCCTCACATAGCCCCGACCTCAACCCAACTGAGCAGATTTAGGATTTGATAGATCAAAAACTCAGAAACAAAAAGTTACTTCCAAAGAAACTTTATGAGAGTTTATTAGAGACATTTGGAGTAAAATCCCAAAGGACACTTGGATCAACTATGTTGCAACAATGTCTGAAAGACTGTCTGCAGTTACTAAAGCAAAAGGGGGCACACACAAAATATTAACTGTTTGCTGAACTAAAGCACTTCCACTGAGTTTTTGTTTTACTAAATATGAAGATTAATCAAATTTTGATGTTTCACCTGTGATTAACCTTCCATTGTACTTTGAAAGTTGCCTGAAATCTAATGTTTGATTTTGTCATAGCAGTACTGTATATGAAGTATTGTTGTGAGCTATATTTTTCTTTTATTAATTTAGATATGTGTTAGCTGTAGGAGCTTGTCATGATGTAATGATGCCATAATACCTAAAATTTCTTGTAGTACTAGAAAACGAATAATGATATAACATTAATCAGTTTAATGTTAGTTAGTGAGTTAGACATGAGATATAGTGCATCTGTGGTTCATTTAGTTAGTTATTCAGTCAGCGTGATTGTTATCCTCCGATTAGCAAGTAAGCTGGGAGTACATTAATTTCGTAATTTCTGTTGAAATGTTTGTGAAGTTTAGCTCACTAGTGAACCTGTAGCAAATGTTATTGAAGAAATAAATTAATTCGTTATCATTACATGGAGTGAACTTTGCATTATTTTACCAAATAATCCGAACAAAAAACCATTCAGCTATAGAACACATTACAACACTCGTGTCAGAAGTAAGATTATTTTAATGAAACTAAAATAGAACTATGAATAAACTTCAAGATAACAAAAAAGAGAACAAAGCAAGATCAAACATTTACTAGATATGATGAAGCAGTGGAATAAAAAAGAAGCAGAAAGAGACAGAGCATTAAAAGAAAAGCAAGAAGAAAATGATATAAAATTAGAAGAATGAGGCAGAAAATTAAAGGATGAACAAGAAGAAAGAAACAGAAACTTAGAAGAACAACACAGAAAATTAAAAGAAGATCGAAAGATAAGATACAATAAGTTAAGAGAAGAACTAGAAGAAAGAGACTTAATAGTTGAAAAAAATTAAAAGCTAAAATAAATCTAATTGAAAACAAGATTAATGAAGCTACTGGAGATGCACAGAAGAATTACAACAATGATATTGAAAAAGTACAGACAGACTATAATGATAAAACTGAAGAAGGACAAAAAGACATCTGTGAAGTACAGAAATATTATAACAGCAAGATCAAAGAGATAGCAGCCATGAAGGCACAATGAGTAACAGAATTGAGTACTAGTTCGTGAGAAACTTATTGTGCTTGTGAGAAGAAGAATAAATCCACAATGTTTTGCATAGACTACTGGGAGGCGAATGAAGTCACAAAGAAGGATGCTAACCACTGTCAAGAATTGACTCTGCTTTATCTGGATTAAAATGGTTTTCAACAATGGACATGAAAAGTTGAAATTGGCAAGTGCATGTCAACAAAGCAAGTAGAGAGAGGACAGTATTTACTGCAGGAAATTGTTTGGGGAATTTGGATTGTGTAATGCACCTGGTATATTTCAAATATTAATGTAATGTATTCTCTTTCTGCACTACCCTGGAACATCGTATTCATCTACTTGTATGACATAATCACACGTGGAAAGGCCTTTGACAGTGTTTATGATGGATTGGTTGAAGAAAGAGTACATTTAAGCTGAATTCCAAGAAATATGAATTGTTCCACCAAAAGGTGAATTACCCAGGACACAAGGCGTATAAGCAGAAGAGAAGGAGTGTCTACAACTCTATCTAAAATTTAATTCGTTCAGTATTGGCCAACACTAAAGAGCCCCAAAAAGCTTGATATGGTAAGAAGATTTCTTCGACTATGCTTTTACTATAATCGTTTTGTAAAACCATTTTTGACATAGCTTATTCTCTACACTAATTACTTTAAAAAACATTTTTTGAACTGTCCATTGTGAAAAAGCATTCATCAAACTGAAGAAATAATTAATCAATAACCCTGTATTAGCATACCTATCGTTTGAAGATTCATTCATTTTAAATACATATGTTAGTGATTTTACGATTGAAGCAATGCTAACACAAGAACAACATCCAAAAGAATATCTTATTGCCTTTGGTGTGGTTTACTGTGCTGTACAGAGCATTGTGTTCTTTTATTATTATTACAGTGTCATTGCAGTAACGCAGAAAGGAGCTATTTAATAACTCGAAGAGAACTACTAAATTTCGTTTAAGCACTAAGTCATTCTCATCATTAAATTTAGGAACGAAAGCTTACACACTAGACAGATCATGCAGCATTGAAGTGGCTGGTTAATATTCACAGTCCAGAAGAACAAATAGCAAGATGGCTTCAAAAACTTCAGGAGAATAAATTTAAAATCGTGCATCACTCTGGAAGGAACCACGGGAATGCTGAGACATTATTCCAAAGACCATGTGCTAATTAAAAATACAAACATCGTGAAAAGTGAAAAAAATCACTAGATAGTAAAAACAACTAGTATAAAGTACAACAGATATAACCCAAGGTGTAACATATATAAATAATGAAGAACTAATGTGGTCCAACACTCAACTTAAAGATGCTCAGGCATAAGATGTGAGTTTGAAACCAGTTATTCAGTACACCAAGACAAATACAGAATAACCCTCATGGCAAACAATTACTTCATACAGCCCTATGTCAAAGATGTACTGAGTACAATAGAATTCGTTATGTCTACAACAGAGCTTGTTGTGTCAGAAATTGGAAGATACCAGGGGACAGAAACGACTACAGGTGGAACTTTGACAGTCTCTACATTCAGAAGCACTCCCTCATCTTATCAACTTTCCAACAGCTGAACACCTAGGTGTTAAGAAAACACTGGGGAACGCATGAGAATACTTCTATCGAGTTGGTTATCGGATATATGTAGATAATTGGTGTAAATCATATGAATTATGTGGGAGTGAAAGGGTTGTACTAAAAGTAATAAATGATGTTGCTTATGCTTCACAGATTTTCTTTTCAATTTCACCTGTGGTGAAAAGAAAAGAAATATTTAATATATATATACATACAATCATTAAAGAGTTGATCCGCTGTATAATATCAAACAATGAATTCGACGAAATGTCATAATATTATTCACATACCTAAATTAATTTAGGTTACTATATGGTGAAGTAAAACGGACTTAAAACTCCATATATAAAAGGAATTCCTGCTTTCTGATTCATTCTGATCGGAAATTACGATTGTTTGACGCCTTTTTTATCTTAGATATTACTATGTCACTGATTTATAGAGTGAAATTTTGTTGTTGATGTATCTGACATTTTCTTGTAATTTTTATGACAGAATCTGTAAACTGTTCAGTGTTGCCACCGGCCAGTGTCTTTCAACTTATTTACTTGTTACTGTTTGTTTTAGAGCAAAGACACATTGGACTATCTGCTGTGTTCATCCCTGGGACTCGAACCACGAGCCTTACTGCCGTTCCACTGGGGACGGGTCTTTTAGATATTTTGATATTGGACAGTTCTTTATTAAAGTTGATGGGTTAGAAATATCCTTTGCCATTTTGCCTTATGATTAAGAGCTTCTGATTTTGGATTTTAACCGATAAAATACATCCGATACAAAAAGAAAACCAATTAGTTGTTATATATCCAATAAACATTGGAAATGGGTATCCATTTCATGTTAACTTCACCCTTTCTCAGTACAAATAGTTATGAAATGTCCCTTCTTCCTCACGTGTACCTAACGTATTTGCTCTGAATATTTTAAACAAATTTCAACTATTGAAGGGTAACAAGTTCCTAAATTTTGCTCCCCAGTGGCACAGTGGTATGTCTGCGGACTTACAACGCTAGAAACCGGGTTTCGATACCCGTGGTGGGCAAAGCACAGATATCCCATTGTGTAGCTTTGCGCTTAACTACAAACAATCCTAAAATTTTATTATAGACACTACAGAAAGGGAAGGTTATACACACTCGCGATATTTATAACGAAATTACAATTAGATACGGTTTGTTTGTGCTAATGGGGGCACAATTAGATACGGAGGATTGTTATTTTTCGCGGGATTTAAAGCTATACTTCCTTGGATAGGGAGCATTGTACACACTCGTGGAATGTATAAAACACTATACAGATTAAAGAAGACTCTGTAAAGAGAAGATTGCTAGGAAAGGTTTGAAAAAATAATCTCATAACGTATATAAAAAGCGAAAGTCTCGAAAAAGAAACGATTTTAAACCATTTACACAAAACTCGAAAATATATGAAAACTGATACTGTAAACATGAAGTCCTACAACGGTATTCAATCAACAGAGTGCGCTAGAGTAAATGTAATACATACTGGAAATAGGAAGATATAACTTTAGAAAGTTTTAATCTACAAAACAGTTTAAGTGTTTGTTTTATGCCGACTTCTGTTTATTCTTACAATATGAGTAGAAATTCTGACAATACAAGAATATATAGAGTTAAAACTCGTGGATCGGCTTTAAGTACTCAGTTAAAAGGCAGGGATTATAAGGGAAAAAGGAACGTAACAAGCTTTGTTTCAGATGATACTGAATTGCAATTGCAGCATGGAGAATCAGTCATTCATCCACAGATATTGAAACAAGCCCGACGAAGTGGACAGCTGAATTTGTCAAACAGGGGCATGGTTGAAGGTGCTTTAATATTATCTGTTGAAATTTAACAAATGAACTTAGTTGCCACTTGATATTTAATCTTATACTATTATGGGAAGTGCTAATTGTGTTACTACTATTAGATATCATTTATGAGCAAATTTTCTAAAATAAGTAAAAATAGTTTGAACGTTGTAGAACTAGAAATCACAGTCTACAGATCAGCTGATTTGCAAATATATGTAAAAAAATAACATTTCAAGAGTTTTCTATACTGTATAACTAAGAATAAGATCTTCGATGTCGAGGAACCCACTTTGAGACTAATAATGCTTGGAAATGGCTTGAATGGGTAATGAAGAAAAACTTTAATATAAGTTTAACATAACAGCAAATGTACAATGTTTCAACAAGGTTCTGTTCATCATCAATTACAATTTAAAATATATATTTTCTGACTATTTAAGGTTTTAATTACTGGGTAAAAAATTTTATTCAAAGACATCAGTCATTGTAAAGTATATAATATAATGAATATTTGTATTGATTATAACATATTAAAATTGTTTTTCATTTCTGTTATATATATATATAGATATATTAGACATTACAGACATAAGGTTTTTAGACTTGTTTGGAAAACATTACTAAACCAAAAACAGAATTCTTAAAAATTTACTTATGTAAGTGTAACAGATAATTGTGCAATTCCTTTGTGTCCAGACGCAGATATATAGCACATGGAAAATCTGAATTTAAATAAACCTAAACATTGACAACATATGATGAATAGTAACTTACCAAAATGTACAAGTAACCTAATTTCACAGAATATTCAAACTAGTTTAATCACTGATTACTCAAAACCTTGTATAAACAATAGTTAATAACTCTTCAAAAACAATGACATTATTTTGGTTGCTGAAAACCTTGTATAACCACTAGTTAGTAACTCTTCATAAGTCATGACATTATTTGGATTACTGAAAGCCTTGTATAACCACTGGTTAGTAACTCTTCATAAGTCATGACATTATTTTGATTACTGAAAGCCTTGTATAATCATTAGTTAATAAATCTTCATAAACCATGACATTATTTTAGTTACTTGTCTAACCACTAGTTCATAACTTTTAATAAACCATCACTTCTGGTTCTTGGGAGAACAGGTTTAAGTCTTTATACCTGTTTGCATTTTTAAACAACATTTTATTCTTGCTGGATTGACACATTTTCCAACATTTTTATATTTTACTGATATTACGGGGCCCAAATTGTTATCTAAAAAAGGTTATGCCATTATCTTGTAAGAAAGTAAATTAGATTTCACACTCTTAAATTCTAATTTTTCTTAAATATGTTTCAGAATTCTGTTGTATTTTATTCAGACTTACAACTTTGGTCAGTAATTAGGCCAAAATGGTTTCCTTTCAAAAAACTGATATGTACTAGAAGAAAGGGATTTCTTCTAAACATCTGTACTCAAGAAGCGTATTTCTCTTTTCAGTATTGATATTTGTTTTTTCCTTGTTATTACTTGCATACTAAGACTGTCCAGGTTCTTCTGATTTAAGGAACTTTATTATGTTAGGTTTTTCTAGCATCTAAGTATCATTAGTAAATGCAGAGATTGTTTGAAAAGTAGCTATTGAAATATTTTATATAAAGTATGAGAAACAAAGCACCTAAAATACATTTCCATTGGACTCAACTAATTATATTTTTTACAATTGGAAAAAACATCCAGTGATAAAAACTTTTGTTTTCTACCACCAAGTCTGTTTGCTATCAGGTTTTTAAATTTTCAAATAAATCATATGAATACTATGGTAAAAACTTAAGTTGGTGAGGCAGAAAAATCCCTTGATTGGCATTATTAAATAACAGATTTCAAGATGCTTTTGTAAAAGACACTTGATTCCAAGACAAATTAACAACAAAAGATAAACTAATAGGCCTGTAATTTCTTTTGTCTTTCCTTAACATCTTCTTAAAAGTTTTCACATTAATAAACTGTTAATTATATAGAATTTTTATGGGGACTTTTTCAAATATAACAGCTAAAAGTTCCACTATTACTTCATGAAGCTTCTTAAACATTTTCTATAAACATCTTCAAGAAGAGCAAGTTAAAGAAGGCTAATTTCCATACATACTGAGCAGGTTTGGTATCTTTTACCTTTTAACATGTTCTATACATCTAACCATAATGTTTATATGAGATATGCTGTATAGATTTTTTTGACAGATGACTTTGGTTGTGATTTTTGGTGAGAAAAGGTTGATTTTGAATTTCAACAAGTATTGGATACTCTGGATGAGAGAGTAAGTAAGTGATAATATTTTGATAATCTGAAGATGGGTCACAGAGGTTAGCCAAAATGTTGTTGCTTACCGACTCTCTTGTTCAAAAGATTCAGTGCATGTAAGACTATTCAAGTCCATAATCAAGCTCTCATGAAGTTGTATGCCTAGAATTTCATATTTATCAATGACTTTAGGAAATCAAGTTTTAGGAAATGTTGAAAGTTAAGAGACATTGGGTGACTAATCTAAATGGACAACATTTTAAGGAAACATTTAAGTTGCTGTTAGTTTTTCATATCACCAAGTATAGAGGAATGTATTCATTCTAGAATTTTTCCACTGACAAATACATCTCTGTAGTTACACAGTTGACTGTTCTCTTGCTGATGTACTTCCAAAGCTGATCATGGTGGATGACCTTTGGCTTGGATTGCCTGTTCATTTGGATTATTCAATTCACATCACTGATTCATTTCAGTACTATGTATGACCTTGGAACCTGTCTTTTCTTGAGACAAGAACTGTTCAGCTGTACAAGTCAACTTGACAAAATCTAGGTTTATCAGCATTAACATTGTAGCGACTTTTTGTTTTATCACAAGCTGATTTAAGTGACATCCAAAGTGACATCCGATAAAGTGACATCTTTATTCTTGACATTCACTACAGTTCTTCATGTTATCAATTTCTCAAGATATGCTGGAGTGTTTAGTTGCACTATGTCCCAGTAACTTACTGCCAATAACTCCTGATATGAGTATTTCATTTCTTGGTTGGTACAATGAACAACTTCCCTGTTGTCACAGGAAGTTCAACCTCTGGTGTACAAATTACCATTAGTATTTAGAAATTTTCTGATCATACTGTTAAGTTATCTCACATCCATGTCTCTACATAAAGTCACCTTTCAATATGCATTCTTTCTCAATGTCAATTATCCACACATCATGAGATTTAGAGAAGCTTGCTACATTAAGTGTAACTTCCAACTTCCCTTTTTCTGGAACTTTATGTCTGCATGCTGTTAACTGTGAGATGGTGAGATATCTGTAGCACAGTTGTTAATTGCCTGTCTCAATCTTCTAATATTAACTAGTAGATGGGGATTTATCAATATTTAGGTTTCCCAACATTTCTCTTACAGTTTCTGAACTTAAAATATGTTTTGAATCAATATTTTACATTAATACATTAAGCACTCTAGTTGAGGCTTAATACTTGTATCTGCCTTTGCAAAAATGGAAGAGAACATAATTTGATAAGTATAACATTTCATTATTTTCTGAGATCAGTTCCCCACAATCATTTTTAAGAGGCTCAATCTCCATCCTAACATTTTGCATACCCATCATACACCTAAAGGATTCCTTATTGTTTGGTTTAACTGTATCAGCCAACCCTGTTTCGTATACAGTTTTTGCCCTTTTAACTTCCTTTTTAATCAGCTCTTTTGATTTTCTATAGTCCTCCAGTAAGTTTAAATTTCTTTAATTTATTGTATTTATCCTTAATATGATCTCTTAAACGTTTACTAAACCATACTGGCTTGTTCCACTCCATTGCCCCTTTTTAGTTTCTGTAGTTAGTCTTACATCAGTAGTTGGAAAGGTTTTGAAGAGTGTGATTAAAGATGCAGTTTGTGATTTATATTAATGATATTGACTCTGGAATAACTAACAAAATTTTGAAGTTTCCAGATGACATTAAGATTTTTTTGGGTGGATAACTGTATCAAAGATGCTGCAGACTTACAAGGAAATTCAGATCATTTGATGCACTGGGCCAATACATGGCAGATGATGTTTAACTATTCAAAATGTAAGGTGATGCATGTAGGTTTTCACAATTCAAATTATTATTACTATTTAAATTGGAATACATTAAATACTATGGTTGAAGAAAAAGATCTTGGAGTCATCTAAAAAGTGTATTGTAGCTAATAATAGGGTTTATAGGATTTTGGGTAGCTTCTATAAAAAATATTGAATACAAGACAAGGAGTATTATTGTTTCACTGTATAGATCACTTGTAAGGCCTCATTTAGAGTACTGTGTACAGTTTTGGGCCCCCTTCCTGAAGAAGGACACTGAATTGTAGGAGAAGGTTCAGAGAAGAGCCACTAGGATGATACCTGGGATGGTGGGACTGTCCTAAAATCTCTAAACTTGATTTCTCTGGAGAGGAGAAGATTCAGAAGGGATTTAATTGAGGTTAAGAGTATTAATAATACAGATCCATCAAACTTTTTTTGTGTTTAGCAGTGAAAACAATTAGGACAAGGGGTCATAAATTCAAATTCTGGCAGTGTAGGAGTCGTCTGCAGTTTAGACAGTATTACTTTTCAAACAGGGTGGTTGGCTTTTAGAATGAGGTGCCTTCAAGAGTGGTGGAGGCAGAAAAGTTAACTGAGTTCTAGAAAAGATTGCAGGAATACATGAGTAATAAGGGGTGGTTATAGTTGGGAGGTGGAAAGGACATCCTCGATGGGCTAATAAGCTACTTTTTGTCTCTTTAAATTATGTGAAATCTGTAGAACAGTTGTTAATTATCAATCTCAACATTCTAGTATTAACTGTGAGATGGTGAGATATCTGAAGCACATTTTGTTTTTACCAATCTCAACCTTCTAGTATTAACTGTAAGATGGCAACATAAGTGTTTATTCTCAGAGATTTTCTGACCAACTACAGTTAGGTGTAGGTATGCCCTGCCCCCCTCATTTATTGGACCA